ATTCTCATCAGCCGGCACGCCGAACCAGGGCGAAGTATCGGCGAGCCAGCTGCTCTCCACCTCCCTCTCCGAGGTGGGTTTGGGTTTAGGGTTCAGGAGATATACTCTAGATTGTACCAGCAGCAAGTCAGTTGTTATACGTCACACTGCTGGAGACTATGGTGTAGGAAATGCGAGAGTCTATTCCGCAGGCCTTTGCAGGGGTCCTTCTAGGTCCCGCGGAGCATGGCACTGGCACTAATATTTCCCAACTTGAGTCATGAGGAATCATAACTGGCACATTTGTACACTTAACGCTCACACTCAGGAATCTTGTGACACCACGAGTCTGGTCTCTGCGTATCGGTTGTAGGGCTTCGGACATCGGCTATCGCGGGAACGGCACTTTGCTTGAGCAACTGACGCCAATTTTGAGGAGTGTGGCTTCGGTTTAGAGACGTACACTACTGCATAAACTACCCTCACGTCAACCTGGCTTACACTCGGGCTTGAAGTCAGCAGTGCGGGAGTCAGGCTACGACTCCGATACTCCAAATAGACCCTTGCATGGACCCAGGGCTCGAATCCACAATCCTCAGGTGGCAGAGCCCCAGTGCTTAAACGCGACAGGGTCTAACAACACCTGAAACCCGCTGTCAGAGAATTCACAATAACCAACAAGGATCCTGCTGAATCCTGGCTCTTGCCTCCCCCCCTGCGCGAAGAAAGCACACAAGAATTCCTTAAATCCTTCCATAAATAAACCCATCAGCCTGCTGAGTTCATGCTGTTGACTTTGCTAGCGCCTGAATAGGTCCCTACTATAAACCATAAGCCTACTCCCGAAACCCTACAAGCCTACCCCCTAAACCCCACACTCTGACCCCTACACCCTGCCTAAACCCTAACCTGAAACCCTGAAATCCAGATCCTCCCACCCACACCAGCCACAGGTGGCCAAGGACACCTTCCTCGGATCGCTTCCTCCTGGGTCCCCCCTTCGCAGCTTTTGGGGTTGGGGGTTTAGGGATTACGGCTCAGTCTGTGTTCCTGAAAAATTTGTTTTGCAAGCTGGTAAACCCTGAAATTCTAATTGTTTAACTTCAGTTGAAATTAATTACTGTCTGAGAATTTGGGCTTAGTGTTGATTCTCCGGTTGTTGAGTTCAGGGTTTAGGGTCAAGGGTTTAAAGGTTTCCGGGTCGTGAGGTTGAGTCTTGAGGGTTCCTAACTAGGGTTTTGTATCCGGGGATATTTCGCGTTGGCTGGACCTTGCAGCTCCCTGAGATTGAGGTTCTTGGAACTACGCTCCGTCCCGGGCACTCGTGTCGCTCTACACCATATGGGAGTTTCCGAAAATTAGGGGTACCTTATTTGGGGGCCCCTATAATAAGGATCCTACTTTTTAGGGTACTATATTAGGGTACCCTATAATCGGAAATTCCCATATATCCAAACCCACATTGCTCCTCGCAATCATGGCGCCAGCAGTTCCCTCTCTCTTTGGCGGGGCTTCCCTGTTCAAGACTGGATCCTGGCTTTCACTTGCCTTGGGCCCTCTAGAAGCCCAAAAGCAAGGCTATTTCTTACCCAGAGGCCCCAAAGTAGTTCCTTTTTGGGTTCACCTTATAGGATTCTGTATATGAGCCCCAAAAAGGAACTACTTTGGGGCTTTAGGGTATTGATGAGCTTCAATTCAAGGATGGCACCCGAAGCATCGATTCCTCTGCCCTCACCTCGAAGCCTTGAGTGAGGAGGCCTCCCAGTCAGGCCCAAGCCGTCTCTATACATGACCCCAGTTTCGCCCCGCTTCCACAAACCTTTGGGCTGGAACCTAAAAGGCTAGATTTTCTGAAGTTTAACCCCTGCTAGATACTGAGAAAGGAGATCTAGGATCCTGCTGCGCCTAAGGGTCCATGTAGCTGCATCGTACACGCTTTGTCCTTGAAGGTACTTCAAGGTCAATAATGTACGATGTTCGGTCCCGTTTCAAGGAAGGACAACCCCAAGCCCAAACCTGAAGTTCCACACCCCTGAGCCCTAAACCATTCAGTCCTTCCAGCCGCAAATCTTAGCCAGGCCAAAACCTCTTCCAGAGGGTGAGATCTTGGAGGCCGTCAATTTTGATCGTCTGTCTGTCGGGTTGCGGGTTTTGTACAATAAGAATGCCCACAACAACAAAACAACAACGAACGCCCTGCTCAGGCAGAATCTCCGGATGCATGGCCTCTCAGGCCGACTTCTGGGTGCTATTAGGATGCCTTCGGGGGAATTCGCGAGCTGGATGTGTTCGGTTTGATGGATGTAGCTGCGTGTCTCGAGGATTTGGGGTTGAGGCTTGAGGGGTCAAGGTTCAGGGTTGCCGGTTAGCGGTGCCTTTGAGTCCCGGACATGAGTGGTCATGGATCCGTCAGTTATTAAACTTCAGAATCTTGAACAGGGCTCCCGACTAGTATGAGCCCACTGCATCCTCGGAATGGACGCAGACGTACCTCAAAACAGGCCGCAGCCTGAAATCCTCATGGGCAGCGAGTGTAACTTTATGAATCCATGCCCGGTCCAAGCCCTGACTTTGGTCTCCGTCGCAGTTCCTTTTATGCTTGCCTCGGGTTTGCTATTCTGGGATCCAACCCATAAAAGCTGGTTGGCCCCACCGAGGGGCACCACCGAGGAACTACTGCAGGTAAACCCTCCTTCGCTTCTGTAACATAGCAGCCTGAATAATCACCTGTGGTTCCTTAGGGTTGGGTTCCTTGTTGACAACGATAGTGTGCGCGCCCAAAGTCCTATGCTGTACTTCTTATTCAATAAGGCCCTATACTATTACTTTAGAGAAGCTCTCTCTCTCTCTTTCTCTCTTTCTCTCTCTCTCTCTCTCTCTCTCTCTCTCTATCTCTCTCTCTCTCTCTCTCTCTCTCTCTCTCTCTCTCTCTCTCTCTCTATATATATATATATATAGAGAGAGATATATAAATTTCAGGGGGTGGTTCGCAAAGGTGAACTCCAGACACCCTAAATCCTATAAGCCTAAATCCTACAGCCTAAACCCCAAACTCTAACTCCTGCAGGCTTCCGGTTCGCCTTGAGCCTGATACTCCGGAGACGTCCACGCGAGGTGGCAGTTGGCTCAGGGCTGCTTTTGCTTCAGGGTTTCGGAAGGATAAGGCGGGGGGGAGGGGGAGTTGGCCTTGGACTTGTTTCTCGGCCCATGGTTTTTGAGTGTAGTGTTTGGATCTTTCGGAGTTGAGAGGTTCAGGGTTTAGTTCCGGGACAGGATAGCAAAGTCATGCTACCTTCCCCCACCATACATCCAAAGTCAATGTCTCAGCGATGGGTCTCGAAAGAAACTTTGGGTTCAGTGGCTTCGTTTTGGGTGTAGGGCTTAGGGTTTTGAGTTAGGGTCTGGCTTTGCTGGAGAGAAAAGCAAATTGCCAATATCCTGGCTCAGCTGTGTCGGAGGGAGTTGAAGACTGCCCGAATTGGTGGCATGCCTCATCTGCCGTGTTGTGCGCACTGATAATTATGGGTTGTGGAAAAGCCAGGCCCAACGCTGCAAGCTCTAAACGGCCCCCGCAGCACCCCAAATTCTCCCGAAACGAAGCCTCTTTGCATCCTTTGGATGTTCGAGATTCAGGGATTTGGTGCATTCCGATTCCTCGTCCCCAACTTCTGCGGACGCGAAGCTCTGATGCCACAGTTCTAAACCTCGAACTAGCCTAGCCTGCCTCTTTCGTCGGGTCTCACCATGGAGCCAAACCTGCAGAGCTTGTAGAGACCGACCCTTCCTCCAGACCCCGAACCCCAAACCCAACCATGGGCCTCTTGAGACAAGGCACCCCTCACCGCGGCTCTGTGACGCCGCGACCCTCCGCAGCAGCCTCTCCGTCCGCTCCCTCGCCATCGCTGACAGTGCGGAGTGGTGCGGGCAGCGTGCTGGGGACCCGGGTGTTTGCACCTGATCCCCAGGTGCGAAGCCTAGACCCTCATCCACAAGAAAAGGCTGCAACCCCAAATCTCAGCCCAAACGTAAAGCCCGAAACCTTAAACCTCTACTCTCATGCCTGCGGAGAGGACAAGTTGGGACTCTGAACTAATGGCAGAATGTGTCCTGTGTCCTCGGGCACACAGGTTGGACGTGCCTGTTGTCGCAGCAGCCGACAGTGCACTGGATGAGCTGCTGGCGGAGGCGCCGCCTGGTAGTTGAGATCCTTCACTTTGAAATCCTGCATCCTGAAGCCTAAACCTTTGCTAGGGATCCTAGGTGGACACAAAAGCCGCTTAGGAAACACACGTTTTAGAAGTAAATGATCGCCGCTAGCCGCTATCCCTTAAACCCAGCACCCTACTGCCCTCTGCCAACGGCCCGAAAGTAGTGGAATCGGGTTTTTGAGCCATGGAGAGGGATCTCAGAACTTAGACATACACATGACCCTAGGGCCCATAATCTCGAAAGAACCACTCATTATATATTGGTGCAGCACCATATTGTAAAACATTTGCTTGACTATTCGCCGCACTAGTATACCACAAGACCGTGCTGAAAATCGATCATCCCCTATAGTAGACCCTTACACCGCACAAGCTAACACCTTGAAATCTGAAGCCCCTTCAAATTGGTCTAGCTGATTAGATAGTCACTTAGACCGGCAGCCCACAAAGCCTAAACCCGAAGATTCGAGCACACCCCAAAGTCAAGCACGGTCTCAAAGCAAAGAGTAGGCCCAGAGTCCCTAAATCACCAAAAACACCCAATCCATAAGCAAAGCTCGAGGCTTTGAAGAAAAAATCCAGCGGCTTAGAACCCGAAAGCCTCTAACTTTCAAATTCCCAGATTTCAAGAGTAGACCCGAAACCCCGAAGCCCTCTTTAAGCACAGACCTGTCCTTTGTCCTTCTGCCAAAGCGATGCTGTCGTCTCGGGAAAGCCTCAGATGCGCCTCTTTGCACCGGAAGCTGAATTTCGGCTACGAAGGCTGAGTTGGCCCAAGGGCAGTAGAAGGTTTCGCATAGTGTTCGGCTCAGGATGGCTCTTTTCGCTAACACCGTGGTGGAAAGCCATCGCATCAAAGCTTGGGTGTGCGTCATCAGCTTGTACTCCGTGCCGACCTTGTTCTTCGCTTACCAATCGCGAGCCATCTGGTTAGGCGAGCCAAGCATGCAGACATCCATGTCTTCATCATGGGGTGATTTGCCGACTTTCCTGATATGCACGGGAAAGCAAGGAGGAGGATCACCGCACCTCTATACCAAGACTGGCCTTGACTTTTACGGCTTTCAGAACCGGACCAACCAGGCACAAAAGGATCGAGTCTCGTATAAACTCTACCCACAGCTGGAAAAGTGCATATGGAGCCTCTGAGGGGCAGGATGCGAACTTCAGACCTCACGGTTGACATTATGTTGAAGAAGAACATGGTTCCAAGCTCACCGAGCAACTCGCTTTGCTGAGCCTCGACCACAATGCCTTCCCGCCCGTGCAACCGCTAACAGGAATAGTGCCCGGCAACACCATTGTCGAACTTCGCAAGATCAGAAAAGGATGGATTGGCACACGCGGTTCCACAATCAAGGATGAGCTTCAAGACGTTGTGACCCAGTTCTTTGAGCCAACCTTGAAGGACAGCTACAGCACTCAGCTCAAGTACTCCTTTCCAGATCTTGATATCGAGTCTTGGAATTTGACAAATAAGGACCAGTCTTTACTCAAGAAGTTGCCTCCGAAGATTCGCAAGGTGCTGGTGCAAAAATTCAAGATGAAGAAGCAAAACTTCAAGTTGACCATCAAGGTTGCTGCAGATCATGTCATGGAGGAGGTGGAGATTGGCCGCATCCCGCAACTGCTCTACTTGTTGTCGCGCATCGGTGGTTACATGTCGGTGCTCAGCCTGATACTTCATATCGTTTTTGTACAGCGCTATCCCGAAAGCCATGTTGTACAGACATACGAGGCAAAAACGCTCTTGTTGTGGGGCGACGCTCCGGAGGGGCCTCGCGGCAACGATGCCAAGCCCGATCCACGAGAGATGGAGGCTGCCTAAACTGGGATGGCAATTTGATTTTGCATGCCTGCTGCGGAAACCACGGGCCGGATCTTAACGACCGCCCTGTTTGCTGGCCAGGCCTGAATAAGAGGGGTTGTACAAAAACCCCCACGTGTAAGACGATAATAGGAGGAAAATAAGACAATAACATCAGAACAGATGAATCGATGGAAAACGGGGTTTCTTTACAACCCCAAACACGGGTCGGATCTTAACAACCGCCCTGCTTGCAGTCTAGGCCTGGATAACAGATGTTGGGCAGAGTTGACCTGAAGCTCCGGTTATTTCCCGGTTCATCATGCAACATCTAGACCAGCGTTGATTGTTCGCCGCACCCCTTGGTGCCGGGGCTTTCGTTCCTTTGCCCATCAGTTCCGGCTGGCGGCTTAGTCTGTGCCGGGGCTTTCAGCTCTCGAGTGGGAATTTACCCCACGTGCCTGTTGGGGCACGGCGAATTTTCTCACCCTTGCTTGTACACTCCTGTCCTTCTGTGCGCTGCGAAAAAATGCTCAACCTGCAGTGTTGCGGAGATCTTCTGGTCAGCCTGGCAAGCGAAGGTGGCTGGTTCCATCTCTGAATATTAGTATTGGTTCCTATTCGGTCTTATTCTGCGCGATGCTCAAGGAGTGAAGTCCTCAAGCGTCCATGTCTGAAACTCGGTTTCAGGCCACCCGTGCAGGGCTTCGCACGTCGGTGGCTCACTCGCCGCTTGATTTCGCAGTTAAGGACAGATCAACTTGCAGGGCTTCGAGGGCATGACAGTCTAAGCTAGAAAGTTGGAGCATCAGTAACCGAATGCCCCTAAGGTAGAGTAGAGGGAATCCCTGCACTAATCATCCTCAATCCATGTTCCAACTTTGTGGGCTTCACTATACCTATAGTCTCCATTGTAGTTCCCTTTTTTGGTTATCCAATTTTATGGTTGGGACCCTATAATAGAGATTTTGGTTAACCAAAAAAAGGAACTCCAGTGGAGACTATAGGTAGAGTCTTCGGCTTCCGGGTTTCAGGGTTTATGTCTCGACGGTTGGCTAGGTTTTGAGTTTGTTTGGTTTAGAAGCATGTAGGATGCAGGGCTCTAGCATTCTGGGATGATGCAGTGTAGGATTTTAGGGCTTTCGGGTTGAGGAGTGGGTGGCACGGTCAAATTAGCCAGGACAGCAGCAAACAACTGGTAGGACTGACAGCGATTCTGAGGGTGTGGAGGTGTGGAACTGAGTGGGGCGAGATTGCTACGGATGTGCCATTACTCACTACTCGGGCTCTTGCCGTTAGGCCGCCAGACCGCGGTCTCGTACACGCCATCACGCTTCGGCCGAGGCCATCATTCTGAACCTGAAGACCTAACAAACCTACAGCCCCAAAATCACTGCCACCACAAGACCGAAACCCCAACCCTATGACAACTCAAACCCTTATCACCCAGCACCAAAATCCCAAATCCTTCGCCTCAAACCTCCATGCGAGCCGACCCAGGCCTGCAGCCGCCGCAGCCGCCAGTGTGGGGTCCTCAGGACAGCAACTCGCATGGCGGCCTACGTCCTACGAACAAAAGGGGCCTGAAGACTTGCTTAGCGTTCCTTGCGCTGTACTTGTACTACAATGTACACTGAAGCTTTATTCTAATTACTCCGGCCCCCTTTACCACTGTTGCTCGCTTGATACGAAGTTCATGGGGGGACTGGCTCTGTAGGGTTCCGTTTGAGCCGTTTTATGTTCAAAGATGGTGGTCGTTTAGGCTCTTTGTCAAAGGGAACCCAAAACAATTTCATCTCCTTGAGCGAGTATACAGAACGGCAGCTGTTGAGGGATACGACAAGGGCCTGAGTACTTCATGCAGGCCTGGCATTTCGATCCCTGTTACAATCCTTCTCAAAGGAGGGGGTTGTATGAATCAGGGGTCTACGTCAGTAGCATAGCCCCGTTCTAGCCCACATACAGCTATCCGAAGATCCCAGCGCTACCACACCCATGTCGAAACCCCAGCAGGTGCTCACGGAAGCAGGGACGAGTCGGACCAGCCCACTGGCTCAGCACGCTTCGTCTGGGCACTATAATCCTTATTGGCCGCCGGGTTTCACTATATAACTACTTGTTTGTGGGTGCGGGGTGCGGGGGTTGGGTTTAGAGTTTTGATTTGATTCGTTGCAAATTACAATTACGGTAGCATGCCTCTTATGGATGGCGCAGGATTTTGTCCATCTGCCGTTGGAGGTTTCGAGAGGAGTGTGATTGTCGTGTCATCACAGACCCGAAAACCTGAACCTTAAACGCCGGGCTCAGTAGCTGACGATTAATTCGTGCTGTTTGTGAGGGTGTCTTAAAGGGCCCACAGCCCGATGCATGAAACCGACACCCGCCGTGGGTTAAAAGTGGATTCCGAATCTGGCTTGCTAAAGACTAAACCCTACCAACAAAAGGCACCAGGAGAACCAATAGACTCCTAAAGTCTCAGTCTAAACGAGTCTAAACCCTACAAGAAAAGAACAACCAGCAATTCCAAACCTTGAGCAAACACACACGAACAAGAACAAGCAACTACCCTGCGCCTCCCAGACGATGGGGCGTCCCCACTTTTCAATCCGACCCATCTCCCCTCCACTTAAACCCCTCTCGCCAGGGTTTGGGATTTAAGGACCAGGGCATGGGTGTTTAGCGTTTCGAAACACCAGCTTCTGTAAATCCTCGATCCTGAATCTCCTTATAGAATCCTATGAAGCCCACCATCAAATCCTGATAGAAGCCCTCAGAACCTGGCAAACAGAGCCCCATTAAACCCCGAAACTTCCAAACCGGAGCCCGGTTAAGGTCAGAACAATTCAGTCCTCCGGCCTCTCTCTGCTTCAAGAGGCCCAGCGCTCGTTAGTTTAGGGTCCATGGGTTCAAGAAAAGGGGTTCTATAGGGTCATATGGCGTGTTATATAGGATTCTTCCGGTGTTGTAGTGTTCCAGCATTGACTTTTGGCTCATCTTCAGTGAGGTTTATGCGTTCGTGTTCAACTGAAATGGCTCCTTCGGCACAACGGTGATTTGTTGCGATAGAGTTGCAGTTGGGGCTTAGAGTTGCGTAGGGGAACCACAGCCATGAAAGGATCACATGGATCCCCTACATCCTTAGCTTAAAGCTGTGTCGAGTGCTGGCCGTTCCAAAGTCCGTTGACTGCAGCTGGAAGTTGGGGATCGCTTTGGTTCAGTGTTCAGGGTTTGGGGCTTCGGGGGTCTGACGATTCGGGTTATAGCCCCCACCTTCGGCCGTCGTTGGCAGGGATGTGTTCCCGAAGTTGCAATCACGGCAGCTCAGCTCCCAACTTGGAGTCTACCTCTAAATCCTAGCCTTAAATCCTTCAGTTGCGAGTTTAAACTTTCCGGATGTACTTGCAGCCAGCAGGAACCCCACTACCGAGAGTCACAGGCCATTCCGAAGTGGCATTCGGAATTTGGAGAGGTTAGGTAAATCAGGGGCAATTTCGGGTTTAGGGTTCGGGATTTGAGGTTTCCTCGAACCTCCAACGACACTCAGACCCCAAATTCAGTAGATGCTTGGAGCCTTTGGGCTTCATGGGTCCTCACTCTCAGAGATATTGTTCCAGAATTGGGGAACCGGAAGATTGCTGTGCATAATGTACTGTGGGTGTATAGGCAGGCGCAGACTAACAAGTGTTAGGGATCCCAAGGGTTTGCCACTCATGCAGTAGTCACAGCTGGGCAGATGTTAGGTCCAGGTGTAGACCCTAGGCTTTCAACTGGGTTTAAGGATGACTCGACTCTGATACCGTGTCGCTCTGCAGATCGTTCAGGATAGAATTTTGTATGACGGGGTTTGTTCCGAGCCGATGTTCCGTCGGGCAGCTGCAGGAAGAAATTAGGGTGGGTTTCAGATTTCATGGATGTAAACGTGGTAGCCGTGCCGGGTTTTTCAAGGGCTGACTGGGATGCGCAATGGTACTATTTTGGAACTGTCAAAGGTATCTTTCATGGAGAGCTCCGGAAAAACTGGGTCTGAAGCATTAGAATTAGGTACCTACCCTATGTCTTAGTTATAGTTCACATATTACCACAGTATAACATACCACCAAAGAAGACATTACTCCGGTCTATGAAGCCCTATATTATTGTTGGTTTTGCCCGGGTCTGATTGCCTAATACCAACAGTCAGAACCATTAGCATCAGTATGATTAAGAAAATCTGGGGCAGAAAACCTCTGGAAATAGGAACGAGAGTGCGGACAAGAAGCAAGCATAAGATGTGAATTAGGATAACAAACAACAACAGCAACAGTAACAGTAGCAACGATAATGATGAATCCGCTTCTTCTGCTGCTTTCTAAGATTAACATGAAGAGCCCGAATGGTCGCGACCACAGTCAGAGCTTCGCAGGGCTCGCTTCACTGGTGACCTGGGCTAGCCCTGGAGCCTCTCGCCTGCGACAGCTGTGGATTATGGCTGGGTAAGGTCTCTATGAAGGTAGGGTCTTGGGTTTCAGGGAACCACAGATGTGAGGTTTCTATAAGGCAGCGAAAACGGGGAGTTCTACAAGGGTTCTATCACCGGAGTTCTATCAGCACCAGGGGTTCAGGGCAGAGTTCAGGGCGTTTCTGGCTTTACGGTTGCGGTGGTTCAGGCTTACCTGAAGCGCTGTTGCTTTCTGTAAACATAAACCGCGAACCTTGCATTGGCCCCTCTTGTTTCCATCCCAAAACTTCCGCTGAACGCAGCGGGGAGTCCATACCAAGTTCAAGCAAAGACACAACTTGAAGCAGGTGAAGCACCGGAATCGAAGGAAACACCGAAACCCTCAGACCTCAATTTGTACGAACTGGAACAGCGTTCGATCGAATTGTTGAGCATACTTCTAGCATAATTGACCATCAAAACCCCCAAACAACCCACAGCCTCGGCTCCAGTTTCTGGCTGAAAGTGGCGGCAAATGTTATCCTGTCTTTTCAGGCAGGCCCCTACATTGCACCAACAAACCTAAAAACCCATACCGAAACTTCTCGCAACCCTGACGCCTCTGACTCCCTCTACCTCAACGCCTGCACAAAAACCGAAAGTCCTCAACACCCTGTACGGACACCCTGAAACCCTTCAATCTCTCTCGCCACGGACATGAAATTCCCAGCTCAATGAACTCAGATCTTTCCATATTAAAGCATGTTTAAGAACCTGCCAGGTTTCGGGTACATTCCTCATATCAGTGGTACAAACCACTAAAGAACCCTATTCAAAAAAAGGTCTACAAAACCGATATACACCATGCACACCCAAGATTCCTTAGTCAACGGGAGATCGGAAGATCTGGTACGTACCCAGAGGCTCCAAAGCCTTCAATCAGGCTATATACTTTAGATGCTAATTTAATAGGAACCCTCAACCTAAACCCTAAACCCCAAGGTATAGATTGTGATAGGAACCCCGATATGACTTAAGGTAGCCCCAATGTAAATGTAGCTTAAGGTTGTTTAAAGGGTGTTGGAGCCTCTGGGTAAGTCAAGGCCCTTCGCCTCCTCCTCGCTTCCTCGCGGGCACCGGGACCGGGAAGAATGCCAGGCCTCTGCGGGTTTCAGCTCAGGTTCGGAGGTTTAAGGTTTGGGATCTAGGGTTTAAGGTTAGGGTTTAGGTTTAGGGCCTAGAGTTTAAGGTTTAGGGTTAAGGGTTGAAGGTTAAGGGCTTGGAGTTTTAAGGTTGGGGTTTTAATTGGCTTAGAGCTTACAGGGCTTAGATATTAGAGTTGACAGGAGTCTGGCGTACCCAGAGGCTCCAAAACCTGCTGACCAATGACAATTTACCTTAAGTCATATAGGGGGTTCCTGGTTTGATATAAAGTATATTCCGTAAGGGGCTTTGGATCCTCTGGGTAAGATTTAGAGTGTATGGGGTTTAGAGCTCCACAGGGGTTTAGAGTAGACGACTTTGGCCTCGGGTTAAAGACATGAACACAAGCTATTGAAACCTGTCCTATTGAAGCGGGATCACCCTAACAAGTTCATGTTTCGTGTTTTGGTAGGAGGTTCTATTCAGGGCTCAGTCTAGGGTCTGGAGTTACGATTTAGTTGTTGGGTATTTTAGGGCTCGGGGCTTTCCAGCATCATGCTGTTAGGCCGGGTGTTAGGATTTGCATGGCTTTAGGGTTGCAGGATGCTTTAGGGTTGAGGGCTTCGGGCTCTTCAAAGCATCAGTGTAGGAGTTGAGAGGAGTCTGGCGCAGTTCCTATCGACATCTTGGCTCGATGGATTGAAACTTCATGCCCCAGGCCTCCGATTCGAGGAGCAGCTTATAGTTAGCTCTACCTGGAAAACTACAAAGCCCTACTTCTTTGTAGGGTCCCTTCAAATTCTCTATTTGGGCTTATCACAAGAGCCTACAGAAAAGTTGCTCATGCTAGTTTAAGGTCATGAAACATCGCCCGACTTACATCGTAGGAAAGGTGCAGGGCGAGCTGTGACTTCGGGGTAATCGTCGAAGTGAACCCCTGTATGACCGCGCACGAAGCAGTGTGTAGCATCCAGAACCCTGAAGCAATTATGACGTTTCGTTGAAGAAGCTTCGCGTACCCTCAAACTCGACTATGCTGGCCGTCCTGATCGCGCTTCCCTTCGTGGTTGCTGCTCTGGCTGGCCTCTACGTGCTCTATGCTGTCGTGTTGAAGCCGGCAGCCTGCCTGCAATTTACCGGACATGAAGCAGGGCCTAGATTCGGCCTCGATGAAAGGCTTCAATCACAAAGCCTAAACTGCACCCCGGCCTTTCTTATCAATTGGTGAGTGTACATGGGGCTGCATGGGAATCTTTGTATCGTTCGGGGTGTCATGATGGGGCAATACTACGCTGGCAACTTGGGATCCTTGTTAATAGCTACTCCGTGTGGTCTTAATTGTAGATTGTAGACGTATCTGTTCATTAAGGCTTATCGGGAGACCTAAGTAGACCCCCTACAACCCGCAATGGTTCATAGGCACAGGCATAGGTCCTGTGACAGGTAATACTTGTACCGGCACGATTCAAGCTTCGGTGTTGGAAAATGGGCCGGAACCTTGAACCATCGAGCCCTAACATAGAACTGGCTCTTTGATTGGGGTTGTAGCCAGGTTTTCGAGGCTTTTCAGCCTCTTTTCTTTTTATGTGAAGTTTCTTGGCGGTTCAGTGTTAGTGAGTATGCTTCTAGATTATGTATGTTGCCAAGGGTTACATACTACAGAGTGTGGTGCTGCGGTTTAAGGTTCTGTGTTCGGATGTTGGGAGTGGCAAACTTTACTTTAACAAACAATTTAGTTGTCGGCCGACACCCCGAACTACAGCTGCGCACACCCAATAGTTACTTAGGCCATTCTGAGACCGGAACCCTAAACCCTAGCCGAGAAAGAGTTCACCGTTCATTTGGAAAGCCTTCCGACGAATACCGTGTGCCTGAATTTGGAATCAGTCGTTCTACACTGCTTGTAGCAACATGCACCAACATGGAACACGATTGCGTGTGTGGACCCGGCTCCACAAACATAAGCCGCAAGTGGCCACTGCAACAGACCGAACCCTAAACCCTAAAAGCGCTAAACATCCCAGAACCCTATACTAAACCCTCAACTCCTACCCAGGCCAAATGCAGCTTCCGCCCGGCCCACGACGGCTCTTCAGCTTTGCATTCCAAGGCAGCCTCGATCTGAATGAAGACCGTAGAAAGCATAAGATACTCTAGAACCTTGTCCTACTGTTGATGATATAAATCCTGCAGTACCTTAAGGACCCTAGACTATGGGAATTTTGGTATATTCCTTATTCTGGGTAGTGCAGGTTTTATATCATCAACCGTAGGTGTTCATGCCCAGTCATTGGTTTCAGGCCCAGTCATTGGTTCCAGGTTATACTGCTTCCGACGGGAACCCTAAATCCGTTGTTCTCTTGGGTGAAGGTAGGCGACCCTTTGGTCATCCGAGTCCAGAAACTTCAAGAACTTGGAAGGTTGAGGGCGCAGCCGGCACGATTCTGCAGGGTCTTTGGGTTTCCCCGTCAAAGGCTGAGGGTACAGTCCTTGTGACTCTGCAGGGTGTTAGGCTTTCTCCATCAAAAAAGTGCATGGTGTATTTCTCCCTGCTTGTATGAACCTCTTGTAGAGCCGTGGGGTTTAGGGTACCGCTGTCAAGGGCTCGGGATGAGGTTAAAGGGAATGTCAGGGTTCCTCGATTCCGACCTTATCGGGCCACGGAACCTCGCAGCGCCGATGCTGCGCGGATAGTACAGGGTTTGGGATTTTTTTTTGAGAGCCAGTGAATGTGGAAGTCCCTGAAACTTTTGGGTTTCTGAAAAGTCCATTTTTATTTGGGTTTCAGAATATTCGCTGACATGTTGAGGTTTCTTCCTATGATGTCCGGAACCTCATCCCTAGAAGTTTGAAGAGCGGAAAATGCCATTTACACAGAGGTTCCACGTGGCGGTATGAGCCCTCGAAAGCGATATAGAGTAATGTAGAGCCCTCGAAAGCTAGGCCCAAAACCGAAAACCGAACAAATGCGAACGACCTTTCCGACGCTACCCGAAATCCTAACATATAAATCTTACATTCAAGCCCGAAAGCCAAAAGTCTATGCTCTAAGCCCTTCATCTCTGTTTCCTTATGATTTGAATGCCTTTCTTAGCAGGTGGTGATCTGCGTTGGGGATTCCCTCACCCAGGCCTTCTGACAGCTCTTTAGGGCTCTGGGTTGCCCTAAACCCTAAACCGGACAGTCTCAAGAGGATTTCCCTTTTCGGGGCTAGTTAACTTATCTAGGATTGGGATCGTATGATTAACGACAAGAAACTACGGGGATACTACCGGTAATGCTTTTCCGGGGTTTAGGGTCGACTGGCTCAGGACCTTTGGGGTTTAGGTGTTCAGGCTTAGAGTAAGTTAGTTATTGATTAAGGATGCCCAGCTTTCACGGTTTGGGGTTGCAGGGCAATGCGAAGTCTGGTGGCCTTTGTCTGAAGTTTTGAAAAAACTCCCTGAAGCTAAACTCTGGAGCCCTTCAACCTGAATCCGAAATTCTAAACCTAGGAAGGGGGGTTTTAGGGTTTAAGGTTTCATGTGCATCCAAGATCGAAATAGATTCGAAAGCCGTAATAGGGATGGGCGTTCAGGGCCTATGGTGGAACATATGTAACATCACAGCTACCTGCACTACCTTAAGTAAGTCTGACCATGTTATCCTAACCATAAAATATACCAGAGCAAGGTAACTCAAAAACTTATATATGTAACTTCGAACATTATTCCAAGGGGTTCTTGCAAGTTTTCTACTATAACTATTGCACATAACACCCGACACCCGGAGGCCACAGTCTCGGGCGACTGGCTGGAGATCTTACGCTCTCGATTTCCCGAGCTGTCCTTTCTCAATGCTGGCGTCAACGGGGACTGTGCCTACAACGTGGCCATGAAGGCATCAAGTATAGAGTCGTGGGTTTAGGATTTAGGGTTTAGGGTTTGGGGGCCATGAAGGCACCAAGACAATTTGGCGCCAACTAGCCCTCAACCCTAAACCCGAACCCAAGCCCCTCAACCCTAACCCGTGGCTTGGGGGCTTTGGGAGGCCTTGGCTTGTGGCTTTCCAGGTGTCCGGGCTTGGTGGTTGAGGGTGAGACGTGGGTTATGTAAACATCTGCAAACCAAGCGTGTCTATCAAGACAAGGTAACCAAGAAGAGTACTATAGTTGAGGGTGTAGGTAGCCAAGAGGGTCAGAACGTACGTACGTTGTCGAATGCAGCAGAAAGACCATACCATCATCGTAGTACGTATGGACCCTTTGAAAAATCGCTCGCGCCCGAAACCCTAAACTCTGTGAACCTGCAAAAGCTCGCTGAACCCTGCCTTTTCAAAAGGGTGGCCCCCCAAATCCTACCGCAATCCAGGCCAGGGCAATCCGTGAGTGTCAGCCAGCCGCCGTCGTGGTCCTCATAGGGACCAACGATGCCAAGGCAGGGGTTAGCGGTTAGAGCTCCAGCTTCCGGGTTGAATTAGGAGTTTTGGTTCAGGTTGGACCGGGTTTTTGAAAGTTTGGCGTGGGATGCCCCATTCTACTGAACTCCTATGATCCCGAGGGCCACCCGGACGTTAGAAGCCGCTATAACTTCGCATTTTCTTTGTCATGGTTGGGTAACATTTTACATTTTCATGGGCACTTAAAACCAACAAGGAATAAAGACATAAATTTGTAATCCTATACCAACCATGAACTAGTTTTGTGGTCCTGCACGCTGCCCGGCCGGGATTTGGAAGCCACTCTGTCGTCGTCCTTGATCTTCGTCTTCAGGGTTCCAAAAGGCTCCGTTGGAGGTATGTACAGGAAGGTTTGTGGCTAGCAGCACAATCAGAGCATCACGGGTGCTATTGTTACGTGTGCTTTTCGGCCGCGCTGGGTAAATATAACACAGGCTTCTGTGTCTTCTGTGTCAGATGACGTTTGGACGTACAGGTTTTGGCGACAAGAGTGGCCCAAACGCATGTTGAAGCCAGGAAGAACCTATCACACCTTCCAAAGGAAACGAACTTCAGGTTTCGTGTCCTAGTCCTCGGTGGGAGCTCACCATCGTCATAGCCCTACAAGAGCCATCATTGATTGATCCTCTGTAAGGTAGACTATAAGTGCAGATACCAAAAGCCCCCAACATCCCAAACGCCAGGCAGAAGTGAACGGGAGCTGGGGGAAGCACAGCCGGCTTTACAACGGCTTGCCTCAGGAACCGGCAGGGGGTGTAGAGTCGAAGAAGTTAGGCCTGAAAGTTCAACGGATGATGATATAAATCCTGTAGTACCCATAACAATGATAATAAGGAATATGCCATAATTCCCATAGTTTAGGGTCCTTCAGGTAATGCAGGATTTGTATCATCAACGCCTTCCAGTGAGCTTCAGCGTTTAAGCTCCCCCCCTCATGTGCACAGCGAATATCAGGACCTTCATGATTGACTAGAAGAGGGTTTCAAAGAAGTCTTAACGGAGCTTAATTGTTTTATCCAAGTCTATAAGGCCTTGGTAGGATTGTATCGGAATTGTTCTGGAGACTGCCGGTAGGCCCTGTACCGTCTGCTTCTGGAGAAATGAGCTTTAAAACCGTCAGCAGTGTTATCGAGACAGCCTTGAACACCCCCTAAGTCCTACGCCCTGAACCTTTGAAACCTGAATCGACAACCACGAATGGTGTCTTTTCTAAAGAAGTGGTTACAAACAGCAGGCAGATGAAACACAAATTCAAACGCCGGGTGAACAACAAGAGAAACAGCAACGTCACCATGTAAAGCCCTAAACCAAACCCCTACCTTAAACTTGCATGACCTACTTTTTGTAGGTTCTCATTCTCAACCCTAATAGAGAATTTATCAGGGCCCTACGAAGGAGTAGGTTTTGGTAGCTCAAGCAAGGTAAACCCTGAACTCCCAAACTGCGAAGCGCAGGACTGTCTGGTTCTTAGCAGGGAATGGGGCAATGGATGCAAATATCATAGACCCTAGATAATCCCCAAAAGCAGTCTCCATAATCCATTCCCCCATTCCCCTAAACCCTAAACCCACTAAGAACCAGACAGAGGAGCCCAGCTACGACTTCTTCCGCTCCTCCCTGGGATCGGCTCTCGAAATCCTTCTCGGCCCTGATCCTTCCCAGAGTCTCTTGGGTTGAAGTATTCCCTTGCGGATGTCTTTTAAGGGCTCCTGTAATTAAGGGTTCCTTTAAGGGTTTAGGGCTTGAGAATGAGGGTTCAGGTTAGAGGTCTTGAGGTTAAGAAGGAAAAGGGGTTGTGGTTAAAGGGTTTCGGCTTTGTGGGTTTGGGGTTTAAGGTCTAAGGTTTGATGGTTGAATTGTTTCTTGGTTGCGTTATTTTTGCCATGTGTCTCTGGGAAGAGCTTTGACAGCAGGTCTTTGGTTTCGCATTACGACGTGTTCCGCTTCTTGCTGGTTATTGCGAAACCCTTGATAGAACATATAGCCCTCTCATTTCAGTTGCAGATACGGCTTGAGGTTCAAGTTGTCAGAACCCAGGACCTTGTTTGGCGGTGCTCACGCTGCCCATGCTCGGCGAGAGCCCGGAGCACATCGGGAACAGGGAAGTGGTATCTGGACTCAATCACTTCAGGGCTGTGGGATTCTAGCTTGGTGTTTGAAACTGGTAGGGGTGGCCGGGAGATTGGCTTGTGAGCTTGGATGTGTTTCAAGGCTCAGGTTTTGGGGCAAGTGCATGTGGACCCAAGTCCATTCTGTGCTGGTTGAAGGATGAGTGTCATAACGAACAAGGTTCCCCCCCGCCTGGCGAGCGTAGAAAATCCTGTCCGCGACGTCCTTCTGTTTATAAGGTGTTGCGGAGCCCTAGTTCTTTGTGTGGATATGAGTCGCATAGACTCGGCAAACTAAGCTTTAAACCCCAAGCCCAGTTCCGGAAGCGCCCTCCTTTCAAGTAGTAGGATCCGAGTGCCTTGTCTTCAGCCCCAGCCCTAAATCCCACACTTGGCCTGCAGGTGCCACGATACAACCAAGCTCTCCAAGATCTTGCTGCCGCTGCCGGCAAGGCTGGCGGTGACCTGGAGGTCCTCGACCTCAACAGGGCCCTGTGGCTACGGGTGCAGGACGATCTGGACAAAAGGGGGGCTTTTAAGAAAGAAAGCAGGGTTGTGGAGGCTGTATAAGGCTTCTATCGGGGTTCTACACTGCAGCTTTTGGACCGTGCGCACTCCCGTAGTCCAACTTCCACCCGCCGCTCATGGGGCCCCTGGCCTGCAAGGTCGGGGAACTTATATATTGAAATCTTGTCACAGCAAAGTACAAAGTAACGTTGCAAAGGTGGTATTTGTAGTATGCTGTAAACCACCACCTATAGTAAGCAATACCTGACACCCACAAATTCAAGGGTACCTGTTCTTCCTTATGCAAGACTTGATGTTCAGGCAAGGAAACCACATGAGTCATGAGGCCAATACCTTGAAATCATAAGCAAAACCCTAGAATCCTAAACCCCGGCCCTCAAACCCAACTACACCGAAAGCCCCGCTGAAGCCCTTGAATCAAAGGGGAAATAGAGGGACCCTTAATGGGGACCCTACCCTATAATGGGCTATATAATGGGTATATAGTAGCCATATTAAGGGTATATACCTAGGGGTCCTTATTAAGGGTCCCTCATTAGCCCCTTTGACTTGAAGTGAGGAGATGGTATCTACCCAAAGCTCACCGGAGCCACCTCCTGTGGATGAGTTTATGGGCCTCATGTGGCAGGCGCGTTTTTGTCACGTCATTTCGCGTTCCATTAGAGTTTTGGCGTAATGAGCTCCGCTTGGGATCAAATCCGAAACATTCGATTTGTGGTTTTGGTACGAGATTGTGCGGATTAGTGTCCTGTATCACTGGCTTCATTTTGAAGTTTTCAGAGTTCTGAACCCTGATACTGAATTATGACAATAGCCAAAGCAATGATCACATTATCAACACATGAACGATGATAGTTTGATAATGACGAGCTCTTTGCAGGGCGCTGCTCTCCACTACTTGCTGGGTTGGAGCTGGGATTCCGTTGGCCGCCGACAAGGGCAGAGGGTGATGTCCGATGCCTTGCACCTGATCCTAGGCTTGCTTCGGGTATGATGGGTTCTTACAGTTTCGGACGCGTGTTTGTTTGTTAAAGGTCCAGGCCCAAACGACACCTATAAAGTGCATTTAGGGCATGAGGCACCAAGTAGAGACGGAGTCACACCATGCGTCGAATGGGAAAGAGACTCAGGAATGACACCGGGGCAGCCGTCATCGCTCAGCTTGTTGGTGATTGGCTGCTGAAAACAGGCGTGGCTTAAGGACCCCCTGCTTGCTTACACCTTCTTCTGGGAGAGCTCGACTGCTACGACCGGACCTGTCGAAGAACGCCACCAGCGGATAGTGACAGCTGGGCTTTTGGAAAAGGTATCGTTTTTGGTCAGGCAGCTGAAATTCCGTAGCAGCATCGGTTGCAATCTCCCCTCTCATCCTACAGTTGGCTCGCATGTTCGCAACTTCCCGTAAGAACACTGTGCTGCAACTTTTAAGTTTCCGTCTAACCCAATCCCTATTCTCGATAAAGTTGGAAGCTCCCGAAACCCTACAGAAGCGAGAGCCCTAAGCCGCAAAGCTCCTGGACACTCAAGGATTGGAGACAGCCACCTTGACCAGAGCGAGACCGTCAGTCGAACTTCCCCGTCCAAACCTAGCCGGAACACTGAGATGAGCATTCACATCCGCGTGCGCCAGCATGTGGCAGTCTGCGCAAATTCGGTCACCAGACATAAGGACCACTAAACTGAGAAACCCCGACGTGTTGCCTCATGAGACCAGTTCAGCAGATGGTGCTGATAATCAGGCATCAGATGCTAAGTTCGAAAAGGCTTTTTCTCGTAAGCATGCTTAGTATTTAGATGCCATCCACCGGCTTCGTTACTCTACAACCGAAAGCTGAACCCATTGGACCTATTTCAATTTCGATTCCCTGCTATGTAAATCGCCTTAGTTAACCTACAATGGGTAGATTTTCTGGGATGACAACAGACAGCCTACAAAGCCTGCAAAATCACTCCAACCTCTATAGTAATCCCTGTAACCCCAGAGACCTTTGGGTGTCCAAAGCCACCCCAACGCAAAGCTCCAAGTGGTCTTGAGCATCTTCTCGAACCGGCAGGTTCATGCGGTTTGGTAGGTTTGTGCCGGGTTCCTGAAGAATTCGAATGGGGATTCGTCTGTATAATTGCGCTTTAATTATGTAGGGCACCATATTGAAAGCCCTAGACATGACGCCTTGGAGCCCTAACCTCCAAACTCTTCAGGCCAAAGCCCAAAGTAGCAATACAGGCTCTCACACACAAGGGAAAACCCCAAACCACCAGAAGAAACGCGCTTGAAGCACAAAAGCCAGGCAACCGCAGCCTGGGTGAGGCAACACCGACGAAGGTGGGCAAAGCCCGGACTGGTTGAGGCTTGAATTCAACGATTTGGGTTTTTCAGGTGACGAAGGTTTCGAGTTGTGGCGAGTAGTTTGCGTTTCTGTTTAGTTAGGTGGGGTTATTGGTTGGGAAGTTTGGAGGAATTACGCTGTATGGCTGTCAGAATCTAAGCTAAGGTTTACGGGGCTGAGGATGAACAGATCGTCGGCCCAGGCCTCAGGGCTTTCGTCTGGCTTAGGCAGATTCGTTTGCCCTTCATTCACTGAAGATCCTGGCGGCAGGGTGCCACTTGGAGGCTGGCTGCCGATCCAGGAGGTACCAAGGCCCAGCCACGGCCGCAGATGAGTCCGAGATCCGCTATGCGATGAAGCTGGACACCCACGAAGCCGGCGGTGGTCACGACCATGTTGAAACAGTAGAGTCTTTGCTTAAGACTATGCGCAGTGCATATGCTAGTGTTGGAGATCTGAGAATGTGGAAAGTCCCGTGCTATCCTGCGCAGTCGTGGAGATTGTAGCCCAGCATACCCCAACCACAATAATCTTGCTTTCGACGTCAGATGATTGTCCGTGACCAGTCCGTGTCGACATCAGAACCGTGGAGTCGTAAAGTACAGGAGCTTCAAGAAGCATGGGTGTTAGTCTTCAAACATGATGTTTAGCTATCTTTCTCGTGCGGTACCTCCACAAGCCCTATACCTTGTACTCCCAAAGAAGCAGAATTCGACTCTGCAAGAACTGATGTTGTCGATGGCCAGTCGGCACTGACTGGGTAGTTAGTTTGTATTCTGGGGCTCCGCGTGTGCATGCTTTGATTTTCAGGTCTTTGGTGCATGATACGACCTGAAACGCTTGTCGTCGATGTGGTAAGAAACATATGATGTCTGTTTGAAGAATTGTTGGGTGCAGGAGTATCACCTGCGATACTTCCGCATCGCCCAGAGCCGAGCGGACTTGCTTGCTTTGTGTGAAGCTGACCCGGGTACGGAGGGTCGCAACTGTTCGGTTGCAGAATCAGTTCCAGCACCCTTTGCAGCATTTTGTGAAGTCCACACGCCAACAACAGCAAAGTTGCAGGGACTTCGAGGTAGCCTTCTCTTGAAAGTCTTTCGTTTCTATCCACTGGCCTGTGCCCTAGACCCTGCCCTGTATTACAGGGGTAAGGTGAGGGTTTAGGGTTGTTAGCCGTTGGTTTCGGATCGTTGCAGAGATTTGGGTGTAAGGACCGGGTAGCCGGCTCAACTGTAAAGTACCATATTAGAATTAATATTACGATTATGATGATGATGATGATGATTCTTGTTAGTAATTCTTACTAGTATTACTACTACTATGGAGAACGCTCTTGCCTCGCACAACAAGCATCGCAAAGCTTTACAAGAAATTCTCGAGCCAGATATGTGGTTTTAAGTTGTTTCGGGGTTCATGTTGACTTGTAACCGTCGTGGCAAGCTTTGGGAGAAACATGTAAGTATGTAGGTCAAATAAGTAAATACGAAGCATCTGTACAGAACGACACTTCAATATCGCAGCCTTAATTCGTATATAGAAGACTACATGTCGTGAAGCCCAAACCCGGAACTCCATAAAACCCCAAGAGCAACTCAAGAGGTCCTCCGAAACATACAGGGCAGACCCAAACCGCACTTCGGCAGCAGCGGCACTTCGGCAGCAGCGGCTTTGCTACCGATGCCTTACAAGGATCTAAGGAGTTTTTTGGTTTTCGGGTTTAGGGCTTGGGGACCCAAGGAACTTGTGGGTTCCAATGATAGGGCTTCAATCCTAAAGCCTTACCCAGACCCTCAAATGCAACTCCTCGTTGCGGTTATCCTTTCTATTCGGGGCTGAAGCCTTAGACCCTGAAACCTAAACTGCCCTAAACCCCTCAAGCCCAAACCGCTAGCTCCAACGCCAATTTGCTACCACCTAAACCCTTCAAACCCTGAACTCCCCGGAACCCGAAGGCACGAAAACTTCCATAACATGTAGAATTGCCAAGGTCGGCTTAATCGGAGAGGGCAGCTTTGGTAGCGTCTACGAGGCTAGGGAGTGCAATGAGTCGGGCTCAGGGCTCCTTTCTATTTTGGGATGGGGGTTTGGGTATGTGGAGCTTTAGGGTTTGAGGGTTTTTAAGGCTTGGGTGTTTGGAATCTACAGGCATGACGGGACATCGCTTCAGAAGATGGGTTTTTGGGATTGAGTTCGGGATTCAGGGTATTGATGTGGTATGGGCCTTTGCTCAGGTTTCAGGGTTTTTCTGCGCACCGACTTTGTCGGTGCTGAAGAAGGACCAGAACTCTGCATAGCTTGCAAATTCCGACCAATTATCAACATCAGGGCTCTACCGAATAACAAGAGCTGTGTCACCGGCAGCGCAAGTTGTCTCAAACAAAGTCCTTAAGCCGTTTGGTTCTTGGTAAGCACCTACTTGGATGCCTTTTACCCCAGGCAGAAAGAGCCGGCAAACCCCCCAAGATTGTCATTCTAACAGTTCACCGTTGAGGTTGCGGGAGGGGGCTAAAGGTCGTGGGGCTTGAAGTTTGGGGTGCAGGCATTGGGAACCGCGGCGTTGAGCTCGTGTTTGGTTGGTCGTTCCACATCATCGTGCAGTTGACGGTCTTTGCTGAGGTATTGGGTTTGGGCGCCTTTCAGGGAGCCAGATTTTTTACCGTGGTTTTTCGGGAGATGGGAAAGTTGCTAGGGACAGACAGTTTGAGAGTTATGGGGTATCCCCTTAGCCAGTAAGTACGCTCCCTCTACAGCAACATAACGTCGTAGAGTAGAACAGACAAAGATAGAATATATAATGCCGCAGATTAAAGATGTAAGCAGTAATGCAATACAGTACAATGCTGACAATACTCAGCCTTGGTCTAGTCTAGTCGTGACGCTGCTATATGCGCCTCCATGTGATCTAACATAAGAGCCAAGATATTCAGTATCGCTATTCCTCAGGGCTCCTTTCTATAACTATGGTATCGTGTAGCACCCACCAAACAGTATTCTAACTGCTCAGGTTCGTAGAGTAGGCTCCTAGACTCAGATGTTGTCTATCAGACCCACGTCTGCTTTGAAAGGTGTGCGACCTTCGCCCCACCTTGAGCCGGATCCTGACTGCCGGCTTGTAGGGTTTAGGGTCCCGGGTAGGATTTAGGCATATGGGCGGTTGTCAACATTGTGGTCCCTTTTTGGGTCCCTGTTATAATACGGCACCTAATGTTTAGGGTGCCCAAAAAGGGACTATAATTTTGACAACTACCTGTATGTTTGCGGTCCGAAAAGATGGTTCCAAGGTTTGGTATTGTAAGTGTCGCGCTGTCTTACGTGGTCTCCAAGAACAACCTAGGAACGCAATGAACCTACAAGCAGCTGTACAGAGGGTTTCTTCGAAACCTCAAGTATAGGATTTTATGATTTGTGAGTACTCCAACCGGCAGAATGATTTTGAACCTGAAACCCCTGCATCCCTACAGCCCCAACTGAAACCCTTATAAAGGAAGTGCCCAACAACAACCCAACGTCACATCGCCCAGGTGGTGCAAATCCCCTTGGTCTGGACCGGAGATGTGCCCTGCCGCTCGTGCTGAAACTGAGCGGTGTTTTGCAAAACGAGGCTCCTGAAAGGGGCTTTTATGATGCGTCAGAGTTCGCTGTGCTTCCGACTGTTGGGCTTTGTGGG